TCTTCTCATTTCACCGTCGAAATCCTGCTGATCTTTCACAATGTCTGGAAAGGAAGACAGCAGCAGCTCAGAACGAGCTGAAGGCGAGAGGGAAGCTGTTCCTCCTTCTCGTTACGAAGATCCTTACAGTAATCCATTCTACCTGGCACCAAATGACAACTCGTCGCTGCCAGTGATCAGTTTCAAGCTCAACGACGACAACTATCTTCTCTGGAGTGAGTCTATGGAGGTCGCACTCCGCACCAAGAACAAGCTGGGTTTCGTCCTAGGTTCGATTCAGGTACCAGATATCACTGATCCCTCTTATGGCACTTGGGATAGGGTTAATGGCACGGTTGTGTGCTGGATTCGAAACTCTGTTGCAGAGGACATTGTTCCTAGTCTCAGGAACATCAAAACAGCTTCTGAGGCTTGGAATTTCCTTAAGTCCAAGTTCAGTCAAGGCGATTCCGTGAGAATTGCAAATCTGCAGGAGAAGGTAGACCTAACCAAGCAAGGGGATCTGTCTATTAGACAATACTACACTGATTTGAAGCTGTTGTGGGATGAGAAAGATTGTTATTTACCCATTCCATACTGTGATTGTGCCTCCAGAACTTATGAAACTGTTATGATGTATAAGGATCGAGAGAAGGTTATCAAGTTTTTACTGGGTCTTAATGAGAAATACCAACAGGTGAAATCCCAGATGTTGATGCTTGATCCCCTTCCAAATCTAGATAGCATTTATCGTTCTGTGATTCAACTGGAGAGACAATTGAATGGAGCCAGTGCTAACACTGGGAAGTCTGAGGAAACTATTGCTCTTGCAACTGCCCTAGCTGCTTCTAGGGTTCCTTACAACTCACTTGCTAAGGATAAAGGGTTGAAGGAATAACAAACTGGAGGAGGAGGACTTTTTTGCAGATACTGCAAGAAGGATAACCATGTTATCCAGGACTGCTGGAAGCTTAAAAGAAAGAACAAAGAAGGAGGAGGAAACCACAGAGGTTTTGCAGGCTCAGTGGATGTTAACCCTGCTGAGAAGACACCTTCAGGAGGAGGAAATTTTTCACCCAAGAGTCCAAGCAGCAACCCAGACAGTCCTCGGCATTTTACTGGTTTCACTACAGAAGAACTTTATCGGCTGAAGGCTTTACTTCAGAGTCCTCAGAATCAGTCATCCTCTTCCTCAGTGAACTCTATTACATCTAAGGGGCAAACCATGTCAGGTATTACGTACTATCCTTTCTACCTATACAACATCAAAAACTCTAAAGATGTATGGGTGCTTGACACTGGTGCTAGTGACCACATAGTGTGTTCTATGCATTTCTTCCTTAGATGTAGAGAGGTTAAGAATATGTCAGTTACTCTTCCAAATGGCCAACAGGCCAAAGTGACTCACACAGGGATAGTCAAGCTGCCTTGTGATCTGTTTCTCACAAATGTCCTTTTAGTTCCATCCTTTAGCTATAACCTGATTTCTATCAGTCAGCTAACTAGCAACAGTCCAGTCTCATTACATTTTGAATCCAACTTTTGTTGTGTCCAGGACCTAATCTCTCGACAGAGGATTGGTTTAATCCACGTAAATAGAGGGCTTTATTTGCTTGGGGAGTCTGTTGCACCTGGAGAGAATCTCAAACCACATTTCCTTGGAGTGACCACCAGTGAGAGCTCAAAGCTGTGGCATGCCAGGCTGGGACATCTTTCCTTTCCAAGACTGCAAGAGATTACCAAACAAAGTAGTGATGTAGTAGCTACAGAAATGAGTGATTGTGAGGTTTGCCACTTAGCTAAACAGAAAAGATTACCTTTTAATAGGAGTATTTCTACTGCAAAGGAACCATTTGATTTGGTCCATATTGACATTTGGGGACCAGTTGATGTAGTGTCTTGTGATGGTTTTAAATATTTCCTCACTGTGGTGGATGATTATAGCAGATGTGTATGGCTATTTTTGATGAGTTTTAAATCTGAAGCAAGAGGTTTGGTTCAGTCTTTCTGTAGCATGGTAAAAACTCAATTTGATAAAACTGTGAGGGTGATTAGGACTGATCAGGGGTAGGAGTTTAACATGCCAGATTTCTATCATGAGCATGGTATCTTACATGAAATGAGTTGTGTCAAGACAGCACAACAGAATGGCAGAGTAGAACGCAAGCATCAACATATTTTAAATGTTGCTAGGGCACTCAAGTTTGAATCTGGAGTCCCTACCAGTTTCTGGAGCTATCTGGTCTTGCATTCTGCATACATAATCAATAGAACTCCTACACCTGTGTTGGGAAACAAAACCCCATTTGAATGCCTATATGGGATACCACCTGATTACAGTACATTGAGAATTTTTTGTTGTCTTGCCTATGCTACTGTTTTGGATGAACATAAGAAGAAATTTGCAGAAAGGGCTAAGAAAGCTGTGTTTGTAGGATATCCTTTTGGGATAAAGGGATTTAAGTTGTATGATCTGGAGACACATTCTACCTTTGTCAGTAGAGATGTGCAATTTGTTGAAGATGCATTCCCATTTAAAACACCTGAGAGTAGGGGTTCTTCTTCACCTTCTTCTTCCACTTCTCTGCATGTTTCTCCCATTCTTCCTCCTGATCATAACCTTCATGAAACTACAGACCCATCTTACTTTCCCACAGACACAGACTCAACTCCACCTACATCACCTCCTTCTACACCAGTAGCTCAAACTCCTGTTTCACCATTTACACCTTCTTCTTCTGTTCCATCTTCTTCTTCTTCACCTCCTTATACTTCCACTCAACATGACTCTTTACCTATTGCACTTAGGAGAGCTCCAAGAGTTTCTAGACAGCCTGCTTACTTGCAGGATTTTCACACATCTTTTCTTACCATTGGCACACCTGGATCTTATGATGCCAGGATGTCTTACCCTCTCTCACATTCTCTCAACTACAACACCCTATCTTCTAACCACAAACACTATACACTTTCTATTTCACTACACCCTGATCCTCAAACCTACTCTCAGGCCATTAAGGAAGATCGTTGGAATAAAGCCATTATAGAAGAGCTTGGTGCTTTAGAAGCAAATAACACCTGGACTCCTGTTGATCCTCCTGTAGACCAGAAAATTGTAGGGAACAAATGGGTGTTTAAGACAAAGTTCCTACTTGATGGGGTGATAGAGAGAAGCAAAGCTCGCTTGGTAGCAAAAGGATACACACAGACCTATGGTGTTGATTTTATTCACACTTTTTCCCCTGTTGCCAAACTTAATTCAGTTAAAATGCTTCTAGCTGTTGCTGCAATTAAGGGTTGGCACTTACATCAGATGGATGTAAGCAATGCCTTTCTCCATGGTGACTTAGAGGAGGAGGTTTACATGGAGGTACCAGATGGTTTAAAACATCTAAGTCACCTTGAAGGTAAGGTTCTGAAACTCAACAAGTCCCTTTATGGACTTAAACAGGCCAGCAGGCAGTGGTTCATCAAGCTGTCAGAATATTTGAAGAACATGGGATTTGAGCAATCCCTTGATGATTACTCAGTTTTCAGGACACTTTCAGTTGTGTTGATAGTGTATGTAGATGACATACTGTTAGTAGGGCCAGTTTTTAGTGAAGTTGAGCATGTAAAGCAAGAATTGAAGAAGGGATTTAAAGTAAAGGATCTAGGAAATATGAGATATTTCCTGGGTTTGGAAGTTGCTAGGTCCAGTGAAGGCATTTCTTTGAACCAGAGAAAGTTCTGTTTAGAACTATTGGCAAACTCTGATTTTCTGGAAAGCAAACCTGAAAAACACCCTTAAGCATGAAGACTGTCCATTCAGCAGCAGATGGAGTTCCCTTAGAAGATGGATCACATTATAGGCATCTATTAGGACAGCTTCAGTACCTTACTACAACAAGACCAGACATCACATTTCCAGTCCAACAGCTCTGCCAGTTTCAGGACAAACCTACAACTACTCACATGAAGGCTCTACACAGGATTCTAAGGTATTTGAAAGGTTGTCCAAGTCAGGGTTTATGGTTTTCATCCTCATCTACTCTTGAATTGAGGGGATATTGTGATTCTGATTGGGCCACTTGTCCTGACACTAGGAAGTCAGTAACTGGGTACTGCACTTTCCTAGGAGATTCTTTAGTTTCGTGGAAAAACAAGAAACATAACACTGTCTCGAGATCCTCCTCAGAGGCAGAATACAGAGCTTTAGCTCAACTCTCATGTGAGATTCAATGGCTGAAATCACTTCTGAAGTTTTATGGAATTGAGCATCAGCAGCCAGTCAAGGTATTTTGTGACAACCAATCTGCTATACATATAGCAGAAAACCCAGTTTTCCATGAACGAACAAAGCACATAGAAGTTGATTGCCATGTTATTCGTGAGAGACTGATTTCAGGTTTACTTACACTTCATCACATTCGAACAGAAGAGCAGTTAGCAGACTTGTTCACTAAGGGCCTCTCTGTTGACAGATTTCAGTATCTACTGTCCAAGCTTGCAGTGCATGACATATGCTTGCAAGCTTGAGGGAGGCTGTGAACGAGGATTACCATGATCACCAACTGCTGCAGGTCTTCAGAGATGCTGCAGAAGGAAGAACAGATGAAACCGAGCAGAGCTTCCTTTCACTCTGCTCAGTACACAGATGGTGACCTTGAAGCGGCGTCGTTTTACTTAAGTGGTAGACACTCCACTAAGCAGAACGACGCAGTATTGGGAGATTGTAATTAGTTAGCGTTTAAACTTAGCTTTAGCCACTTGGCACTTTTCTGTTGGTTAGTTTAATTAAACGTTTTCTCTTTACCGTTAATGTACAGTGACCAGTGATATATATATATGAAATCCCACAGAGGAAGAAGGCATTCTGCCGATTCCACACAGCGGCTGCTCTTATCTTCTTGCAAACCCTAGTGTTCTTGGCTGCTAGGTTAAAACTTTCACACTTTGTTATATAGAAATCGACTTGTTATTAATGGAGCTCCGAACATATATACATCAATTGGGAAAATATTTATTCATCTATTTTTCAACCACATCCAATTTCAAAGGAGAAACCTTGGTATATGCCCTAACCCATAGATACAGCAATCGGGCTCCTCACAACATGATAATTATCCCTCCAACTATACCACCCAAACCTATACCCACCTCCACCATAATACTCCTTCGTTTCCTTCAAATCCCTCGCCTCGATCGTCAACGTGAACTCCTTCCTTTCTCCAACGCGACTAAAAAACAAAACGCTCGGCCGCGCCGTCACCGTCATCCCCAGCGGCGGCTTCGCGCTGAAGAAGTACACGGCGTTACCGTCCCCGCCCACGTTCGTCACACTGCGTTTGATGGTTAGGGTGCCGTTGAGTTTGGGCACGGAGACGGATGGGTAGTTGAGGTCGTACATCGGCGGCGGAAATCTCGGGCAGTTGAATCGTTCGCCGGCGTTTTTAAGTCCGTAGCTGCAGAGGTAGAGGAGGTAGTCGGTGTAGGAGGCGTCGTAGACCAGGCCCGGGTCGGCTGCTTTCGACGGACGGAACTGACCCGACCCGAACTGAAACGGCGTCGCCGTGTGGCCACGTTCGTCGGTGATGGTTTTGCCCTTGTTGTTCCTTGTCGAAGCTGCAAAAAGGAAAAACGACGGCGGCCACAAAGTTACGTGGTTCATTAATACGATACGGGTTAGCTAGTACACGAGTAGGAGAGATCAGTTTCATTAATATACTTTACTACGATGCTGTTGACGCCTGTTTTGTACCAAAATATGAAATCTACACTGTAAGTATTTATATAAAGAACACACAGATTTATGAGGTTTACTAATACGATATGTGTTAGCTTATCCACGGATAAAAAAGATCGAGTTCTTCACTACTATATACTTGAGGATATATAAATTACAGAGACTGAGAAGATATATATATAACGATTTCATGAGACGGTCTAACCCTAATCCAATCTGAAAAGGAACAATGTCTGATGAACCAAAAAAACTGTAAAACAGATGTGTATATAGAGGTGGCAATTGGATCGGATTCGTTGATTCATGGATTGGATTGGTGGATCCATGGATCAAATGGATTAGATCCAATGGATTGGATCAAATGGATTGATCCAGGAATCCAAATGACATCCAAGGCTTGGACCAAAATGTAAAATTTGAAAAGTTTAGGTACTAAAATGTCATAATGAAAAATTTTAGGTACCAAAATGTAATTTTCCAATGATTTTTTTGTATAAAAATATAAGTTTTAGGTACCAAAATGGAAAATATAAAAAAATATAGGTACCAAATCATAATTTGTCATTTGGATCCATGGATTGATCCATGAATCCACCAATCCAATTGGATTTGGATCAAATAGATTGGATTTAAATAGATTGGATGAAGTGGATAATTTGGTGGATGAATTGGATTGGATTCATGGATTTGGATCCTAATTGCCACCTCTATGTATATATGTTCATATACTATGAGTCGACAATACGGTGCCTGCAAACTTCCATCAATCATAGATACTCGATTTTCAAATCATTGCTAATATATGTGCAATTATTTAGGAAATGTAAGGGGTAACAAAGGAGAGTGGATTTTTACCGGTGGTCATGATGGCGGATCTTATGGCGGCGCTGCTCCACGTAGGATGTATGGCTTTGAGGAGTGCAGCTAAGGCTGCCACGTGGGGGCAGGCCATGGATGTTCCGGAATCAAAATTGTACTTCACGCTCCGGCGATCTTCGGATAGTTTGGTCGGCGGTGATGCTTCGCTCCACGCCGCCAATATGTTCACGCCGGGCGCCGCCACGTCCGGCTATTAAAGAGAAAGAAAATTTATACTAAGAACAAACCTAAACATATATAAATTCACATGAAAGTCATTTCAAATAGGTTTCCATGACCATAAGGTTATCAAGATTACAATTGACGAAAAATTTTACAATATATAATTGGTGCTATAGGATTTTGCCTTTGTGGTACAACTTAAAATTGTACATTTACGTTATGATACAACTTCATATTCTACCTATACTTTTTGTACAAATTCTTTTATGGTACAATTTGTATTTTTACCTTTATGTGATGGTACAACTTCAACTTGTAGAGTTGTACCATAACATAATGATACAAATTGCTTTATGGTACAACCTAAACTTATACATTTAATGTTATGGTACAACTTTGAGTTGTACATTAAAACATCAATGCTATATAGCATAATAAAAGTGTTCTACAATTGACACATTCATAAATAAAAATACACAAATTAGTTATTCTAGGTTACATCAATTTCATTGAATTTTTTAAGAGGTCGTTTGGATAAGAAATTATAATAGAATAATTTGGCACAATTATGTCATTTTTTAGACAACTGAGTTAGATTGACCAGTTATACAACATAAAATTTGGATGAAACCATTAGGTTTGGAGAATTTTGAATTGACTCATTTTTTAGATAATTACAATTGTCTGGTGTGGGGGTAAGTAATCCAAATTGACTCAGTTCAGATAAATCATTTTGTAAAATTAGACAATTAGCCAAATTGTCTCGTTTTACCATTGATCCATCCAAATGGCCCTAAACAAGACTATGAGTGTGCAACGGGTTGGTCTAAACCAAACCGCACCGAGACTTGGATCAAACCATACCGAACCGAATATAATATGATCCGGTCTTTGGTCCCCCATATATTTGTAAATATTAAAGAAAATGGACCGAACCAAACTAGACCAAATATAATGTTAATCCTCTAAATCCTAATTAACTAATATTCACTATCAAATCGCGATTCTCATGAATGTGATCAGTAAGTTGCACACCACTCATCAAGACTATTCTACATAATATTGACTCAACTCTATGAAGAGCATATGTAAAATTTTCCGAATTACGTTACCTTGAGAATGTAAGGATGAATAACGTTAGGTCCTTGGCTCGAGAACGCAGCCATGAAAGGAGCCGCCTTATACCCCAAAACCGTCCTCGGCTCCCTCAGCCTCGCCGTCGCATTACCCTTCGCCGACCGAATGTACCTCACGATCTCTCTCGTCTCGTCGTAGGTCACCGCCGTCGTCGGAAGCACGTGCGGCTCCAAGAACACGTCGTCTCCAAGCGCCGCCGTATTGGCGAGTATGAAGCCGACGCCACCGGCTCTCTTCACCTCGACTCCTTTGAGAAATCTGGTGCCCGAGCCTCTCAGGCAGACCACGATCTTGCCCCTGACCTTCTCCGGCGCTAGAGAGTCCGGCAGGCACTGGTCGGTCTCGTTGTCCGGTACCCATGGGAGGGCGGCGTCGGCGGCGCTGATGAGTGGGAGCCTTTTGGGCAGCTTGTGATGTGTCACCGTTTGTCCCTGTATAAAATAATTATATTAGTCGATTAGTGGGTCACATTTAAAAAGAGGAGAAGAGAGTTTGGTGGTCGTGATCCAACTACTACTGAACCGAATATCTAAAATTTATAAAAATTTAGAAGTGATATTCTAGCTAAAGATTCAGAGAAGGGCTGGGTTGTGACCCGAATTGGCCGCCTACTGAATCTGCCACTGTTTTGTAAGTAATCAGTGATTTAATCGTTTGATAATACCAACAAAATCGTATACCGTCTTGGAATAGGTTTGGTGTAGTCATCTAATTCACACATTTTTCCGTTTGTTCGCGTAAATTGGTTCTTACTCACGCTATATTAGTGCTTATTCACATAATAATGGCGGTTGTTCACGCAAATAGCAGCGGTTATTCACACAATCTGATGTTTATTTCACGCATATTATTATTTATTCCCACCTTGTTGTAAAATCAATATCTAAATTTTGAAATATATGAAAATTGATGTCATTGTGTAGACTATAATCAGTGCAAGTCATTTTGACGGAAAATTGAAAATTGAAAATTTAATTTTGTAAAATAAAGCCGATACAGATTATCAATGAAAAATAAAAATAAAAAGTTTGGAATTTCATTTGCGTGAATAATCAGTACCACTATTACGTGAATAAACATAAAATTACGTGACTAGTCACCAATTATAATGTGAATGAGCGCAAAAATGTGACTCATCTTTAGGTGCCACCAAACCCTTCACCCACCATCATTGTCTCCGACAGCCAGTTTTAACGACAAAATCATCGATACGATACGATTTCAGAAAACACGAATTTAAACCCAACCAATCAGTTCATAACCTTAAAGGACTCTACTTCCCACGAGGAGATTTCATGAACGCTAAGAAGGGAAGCAGATCCTCTTGGATCTGGGCAAGTCTCTGAGAGGCAAAAAAAGTACTGAATTTGGGGGCTATTAAAGTTGTTGGCTCGGGAAAGGATACTTGGGTGGGTCAAGACCCATGGATTCCCAATCTTCAGAATTTCACAATTAAAAGTGGGCCCCAACAGAGGATTAAGGTCAAAGATTGGATTGATCAAGAGAATAGAGTTTGGAACCCGGAGTCTATAAGAGGCCACGTGTCGAGTGAGGAACTGGATGCTATTTTGAGAGTCCCTATTGGGGAGGAAGGAGCGGAGGATTTTTGGGCGTGGAACCTTACTAAAGAAGGAATGTTCTCGGTTAAGACGGCATATCATGCTGTTCACAAAGCGAGTACTAACTTCCATCCGATGGGAACCGTGGACAAATGGAAATAGATGTGGGGATTGAACCTTCCACCTAAGCTTAAGTTTTTTATCTGGAGGTGCTCCAGGAATGGGCTGGCAACTAAAGAGAGGCTATTTCAAAGGAAATGTGCCCCTAACCCGATTTGTCAAGTCTGCAATAGCTCAAACGAGTCCATCTTGCACTGCCTCTTCTACTGCCCTCATGCCAAGGAAGCTTGGACCAATATCTTCCCTTCTCTCCCTCTCCCTCCCCAGGATTCCTCGTTCTTTGATTGGATTTGTGCTATTAAGGATGTCATCTCTCAAGATTCTTTCATCCATATTGCTTTCCTTTGCTGGAATATTTGGAAGGCAAGGAATGAATGTACGTTCAAGAATAGAGTTCCGTGGCCTCCGAACGTTGGGTTGCAAACTTTCAGAGAGCTCTATGAATGGATGGCTTGCCCGAGGCCTATCCCCCCTTCTCCTGCCTCTTCGACTCAGCTCAGGGGAACCCACCCCACTACGACTTCCCCGCCAAGTAATCACCCTATGGAGATTCACTGTGATGGGTCGTTCATTAGCGACTCCCAGTCGGCGGCTTATGGTGTTGTTGTGACTAACCACCATGGACAAGTGTGTGATGGGCGAGCTGAGAATCTTCTTTGTTCCACCCCGATTGAAGCGGAAGCAAAAGCTCTCTTAGAAGGTTTAAAATTAGCACAAGAAAATGGATCCGATTGCATGGTCTATTCTGACTGTCAGGTGCTGGTGAAAGCATTGGATAAAGAGAAATCAGGATGGCCTTGGCGCTGTGCGGCTTGGATTGGTTCGATGATTAATATCCTCAGGACAAATCCTGGCATTAAAGTCAGAGAGGTGCCACGAGCATTGAATGTCAGAGCGGACTGGATGGCAAGATCAAAAGCGAGATCTAATCTACCGGATGATTGGATTAATATTCTTGATCTAATTTCTGATCTTCTTTAAAGATTGTAATTTGCTTACGTTTGTTCGAAGGTGGAATAAAAGTTGGTTTAATTGTAAAAAAAAAAAAATCAGTTCATATCCTTAAAACTTAATCACTCAGTGTCTTACGTACCGTGATTTTCAGGCCGTTTCCTAGCACGACGGTCCCCAAAAACCCGCGATCCATGTTGCTAGCTCCCACCGTGAGAATCCACGGCGGCGTGTTGACCACCGTGCCGGGCGTCGGACCGTCGTTACCGCCGCTACAGACCACCACCACGTTCTTCCTCGCGGCATGGAGCGCGCCGATCGATAGACTGTCGTTGACCGGGCTGAGGGGCTCGTCGGCGCCGATGGAGATGCTGATCACCTGGACGCCGTCGGCGATGGCGTCGTCCATGGCGGCGAGCATGTCCTCGTCGAAGCAGGTGTTGCCGCCGATCTTCTCCTGGTTGGGGATGGGCCAGCAGACCTTGTACACGGCCAGCCGGGCCAGCGGCGCCCCGCCGGAGGCCGTCCCGCGGGCGAACCCGCCGAGCGCCGACGCGTTGCGGACCTGGCGGCCGGCGAAGGTGGCGGCGGTGTGGGTCCCGTGGCCGTCCTTGTCGCGCGGTGACCTGTAGTCCTCCGTGGCGTCGAGTCGGCCGTAGTAGGTCTCGAAGCCCTTGATGTAGTACCGCGCTCCGATGATTTTCCTGCCGGAAAAAATTCGATTGAGCTTAGCTTCTAGTTTCAAAGAAACCAAACTGCCTAAGTTACAACTAAGATTAAAAACAAAAAAAAGTGTACAATATTTGTTCATGGAATGAGGAGTTACCCCTAGCTAGGAATGAAACTATACAATGTGTATATGAGTAAACTTAAGGAATTAAACCTAATACATCTTCACAACCTGGTGGAGGAAACATGAGTTGGGCATGTGGGTGGTAGAACCGCGATTTAAAAGGGATCAATTCATAATTAAATAACTCGAAATGTTGTAAGAACAGGGTGATTGTTGAAGAATTGTGGGTCGGTTAATCTCATATTTGCACTTATTTGGGTGTATGGTTAGTGTGTTGTGGGTCTCCTGAGTGACACGTAACTCATTTTCATATAGACAATGAGCTGTTTCTTTTTTTATACTATCAAAGGGTTATCGGATTTCTTAATCGCGCCACGATATGGCCATCAACTCCTAAATGCAAAAGACAAAGAATATAATTGAACTATTAGTATCATTTATTATGTTGTATAATGTTTATTGGATATTGAGATGCCAGCTACAAATAATTAATCCTATCAAAGTTGTAAAAAGTATCAATTTTCTTTACAATTGATTGATGAAGTAATGAAAGATTGATTCTTTTGTCAAATAAGTGAAATTAATATGCATAAAGAGTCTTAGTCTTTAGGTATATGTAATAAAAGAATTTATTTTCTCTTTGGATTGTATGAATACTTCATTTAAAGTGGTTAAAAGAAAATATTGTATGAGTAACGAAAGACTTTGCACAACGTACATACTAGTCGGATTCACGGGAGACAAAGCAAAAGGTGTTTAAGTTGTTACAATCTTACGAATATTGTAAGAAATTTATTATAAATATTAGTCAACTTGTCTAATTACTAGCCGAAGACTTATTTGTGCCTATTAATCAACAACCCAACTAGGGGTAGGCAATGGGCATGTTGAGTGGGTTTTGGTCTCAAATTGACCCACCCGCTTATTAGCGAGTTGGAATAATTGTGACCCGCAATCCACCCACATACCTCTGCGGGTTTGGTTGGGTGGGTGGCGGATGGGTACGGTTGGGTCGTGGGTCAACCCACAAAAGCAATTCTCCAACTAACCATTAAGAAAGTTGACTAATGTTTATAATAGGTTCATAGCAAATTAGTAAGACTGTATCAATAATCTATGATTTTGATACAATTAGTAATTTATAGTTTGCATTCCAATATTTAATTGATATTAACAATAATATGCATACCAATATCCAATATATAATAGATATTGCACAACACAAAACCAATAATAGTAGTCAAAACTATCCTTTATTCTCCACCTTTTGAAGTATATGGTCAGACTGTAGTGCAGTTCGAAAATATGATGAATATATTATACTATAAGAAACACCATTATTTCATGTAAAAATAGAATGTGGGTCATACGGGCGACCCGCAATCCACCCACCACCCACCCACATAAGAGCGGGTGGAAGATTTATCAATCCGCAATCTACCTACATCAATCATCCATTATGTGCGGGTCGGGTTGTTTGCGGATGGATCGATATCAATCCGCGGATTAACCACCCACATGCCCACCCCTAAACCCAACCACACTCATCTGATACCCACCCAACCCAACTCAAAGAAGAATGAGAGTGAATATCGCGGATTGTAATTATACCGACCGGTTTTGGTGATTGTGAGGCGTTCATTTTTTGGTGGTCTGTTTTGTGTTGAGAATGGAGGGTGTCTGTTCTTTCGGTTCTTTCGTTCTTTGTTTGGTGTACTGCGATCATCTGCTTGTCTGCTAGCAGATGGCTGTTAACTGTGGTTTTGTAAACTGTCCTTTATTTCTTTATTTCTAATTTATACCAACCTTAACAAAAAAAAAAAATTATACCGACCGGTTAATAAGCAGGATTGAAACTCACTGACCCCCTAGAGGTAACTATATTGATGTTAGTTTATAAACTAAATTTATATATTTTCAAAGAATCACAAGAAATCCTGAATTTCCTATTAGAAAAGCATACTAAATTTGTGGCATGTTTTGTCTTTCTATATGTTAGTATTATGATGGAAACGAGTTGACAAGATAAGCATACTAATGGGGACGGAATTACCAACAAAATCCACAAAAACAATCATATCTATATAGTGATTGAAACCAGAAATAGACAAATAAATAATGAATAAAGGCGCCATACTTGTTACAATGAGAAGAGTTAAACTCTTGTCCAGTCTGGCAGATTCCCTTCCATGATTTCGGGACGGCTTCCATCCCCTCGTCGCTAAAACTCTCCGCCTCTGGCCACACTCCTGAAAATGGAAATGGAGATTCCTCCCCAAATAATCGTTACGTATTAATCGCCTGTACAAAATTCGTTTCTATGTAAAGAACTACATTAATCACTCACCGCTGTCAAGGATTCCAACAATCAGCGACTTCCCATATCCAGCCCTGTGAAGCAAATCCCCTGCCTCCGCCATTGTTGTTTCCTTCTTCATCGATTCCGCAACATCGTAACCTGCCGCCAAATTCAAACCTGAGAATTCCCACGATCTCGTAGTGTGCGTCGAGTATTTCCTCGGCCGGCTCTCGATCACCGCCACCACTTCTTCCAATTCTGCAGCCGCAGCCACAAACGCAGAAATGAAAAAACAGAGCACACAAAAACAGAGTGCTCTGGCTTTTGATTAAAAAAAGACCCACAATTGAACTGAAACAGAACCAAGGTGAGATTTTGGGTTTCTGGGGTTTTCAGATTGGAACCGTACCGTTGAGTTTGGAGGCTTGTTGCGGGGTGAGGGAGGCCGCGAAGCCATTGATGCTGTGCCTGTAGCTGTAAATGAGGGAAGCTCTGGCTTCTTCTTCCGAGTCTTTGACTGATGTTAGGCATGAGTGATGGGTTTCAAGAATCTGGTCCGGTGTGTATTGTTGGGTGTGAGATCCAAGGTAGACTATGTAGGTTCTTTGGCGTTCATCGCATATGGCTAAGGGAGGGAAAAGTAGAAGAAGGGAAAGGAAAAGGGGAATGATAGTGGGAATGTTCATAATTTTGCCTATGGTGGGAGGCTGATGATGGTTTGATGAGATTTTTTTGGTAGGCTGTCGGAATCTTGAGTGTTTTGAGTATTTATAAGAGGGGAATGAAAGTGGATTCTGTTTGGTTTCCTTTTTTTTTTCTCAAAATGAGTATGTCATATATGCAATTTTGAAGGTTGGTGGGTTAATTTCATAAATATTATCTTTTTAAAAGATTTACCACTAATATGGTGGTTTAAAAACAATTTACACAGATATTGTGTTTTATAGAGAGTTAGGAGCGAGTCCAGCCGCTGGCAGAACTGTCACGCCAGAGTCTGAGGTGGGGGAGCCCATAGCCTTTTTTATTTTGAATCCCCGCCGCTCGTGTCTTATCTCATCTCTCCTTCCTCCTCCAGAAACACTATCAACCCCGCTTCTCCTTCCTCATTCAAGCAGCGGTCCCGTCCGACTCCAAGCAGGCTTGTCTGGGCAGACAGTGGCTTCGTCCCAGCCTTATACGTCCTCGCCTGAGACTCAGGCGGCCCCGCCTCAGACACTGTTGGTTTTGCCGTCCACTTTTCATCACCCAGCAGATCTAGATCCATAATGTCCGACAACGATGAACCAGTCGCCGCTGGCAGAGGAAGGGGGAGAGGGCGGCGAGGTCGAGGTCGCGGCGGCAACCGCTACCTAGGTGAGTATTCGCCGGCGGCGGCCGGATTTCTAGCCGGTGGTGGCCATATTTTTTTAATTTATTTTTTATGTTATGATTTTTTCCCCCAGTTCTTAGGCTTATGGATAGTTATTCCATGAGACCACCACCTGCGACAATTATTGATACAACTCCGGTGGATCCGGTACTTCTTTGGGGACATGGACACCATCGTATTGACTCGGTTTGGGCAAACGAGGTAAGTTTTCAAACTATTTCTATAGTTTTTTATTAGCTGAACTGAACTGAACTTAGAATAGAATAGAATTACGAATGAAATATATGTTAAAATTAGAATAAGTTTAGATTATATATATATAAATATTAGGTGAACTAAATTTAGAAGTACGCATGTAATTTAATTTAGTCAGATACCATCCACTTTATCAGCCGTATCTCGTCGATGCAGGCTTGTTTACGGTTCTGCGATTGGTTTCTCTTACTGGTGATCCGGGTTTGATTACTGCGCTCGTAGAGCGTTGGCGACCCGAGACATCGACCTTCCACATGCCGTTCAGTGAGGTGACGATCACTTTAGAGGACGTTGCGACACTGACCGATCTAGCGATCGACGGTTATGCCGTCATAGTAGACATACCAGACGAGGACTGGTCGGTTATGTGTCTTCGACTGTTAGGACAGGCTCCTACTGATCTTGGCGGCGACGTCATTAGGATTGCTTGGCTCAGGGAAACTTTCGATCAGCTACCGCCATCGGCATCTCAAGATACTACAGGGCAGTTTGCACGAGCTTATGCTCTGTCTCTGATGGGAGGTGTTTTGTTCCCCGATCGGTCTGGAGGTTCAGTTCATCTGCAGTACCTACTCTTGGTGGAGGATTTGCGTAGAGCAGGGAGGTTTGCCTGTGGAGCAGCTGTTCTATCCTACATGTACCGTGAAATGGGTAGGTCGGCGCTGCAGATGACGCAGTCCTCTTCACTAGGTGATGACCTTGATGGATGGTCCGCCTGGCTGATGCTCAGGGCGTGGGAGCGATTTCTCATACATCACCACTACATATAGAGACGAGGGTGCAGATTACCAAGGATGCAGTCCCACGTGGCCTTCGATGGCTTCCGGCCCATACCCATCAGCATGGTGATTAGTTCTATCCGTACAAACTGTGGTTTGACGAGAGCACGACATTCGTGGTTAGTATATAACATCTCGTTTTATAGAATAGTTTTCATCGATTTGTTTTAGATTTAGGAGTAATTATGTGACCAAGTTTTGTGTGCAGTGGCGTCCTTACTTTGATAGAGCCCAGGACTTCAGCGGTACTGTGATCTAGTCCGACACGTTTTGAGCAGTAGTTCCGCTGATATGCTTTTCATCGGCGATGTGGAACCATCCAGATTTCATGCTTGGACAGTTTGGCATGATACATAATCGGCCTCATCAGCCACAATTTGCGGCTGAGATTAGGTTTTTCCTTCGCCAAGACCAGCATGGGCCATCACGTGGGCAACAGTTTATACAGGCAGCCAGCGAGTCGATTGAGTTGTGGAACCGTCGACATGAGTTCATCGCGCGTATGAGCTACAATGACACCCATTTAGCCTACCACTCGGAGCATCTAGAGTGGTATCGAGATGTTACTAGACGTTCAGGCACACGGAGAGGAGCTGCAATGAACGCACCAGTTAGTTTTTTATTAATTCATATATTTGTTTTAATTGTATCTAGATGTGTAACTAGTTCTTACTCAATCAATCACCGATGTTGGCATTTTTCTCTTTATCACCCGCAAGAATGTTTGCAAATAATCGTAGGATTCTTCCCAATTCCCATTCAACTTCTTCAATGCTCTTTGTTTCCCATACCAAGCCTTTTTGTAAGTAACTTGCGTATTAAACTTATCTTTCAACTCGGCCTGCAAAGTTAGAATCAGATATAACGTCGACATCAAGATGTCGATGATCCATCGGTTGAGTCGTACTGCTACAAAAATGCACCAACTCGGCCTTTCTCACAGTTCGTTCGCTTCCCACATCTTGACATCCAAACCGCACCATCCAAGGACAATTGTTATCCTTGTGCTTCAAACATCTGATCTTCCAGATTGAAGGTGACGAGTCCACTATACTGAAAGTTGCGTTGTAGTGCGTAGTGTTTAATCGCCACCTGTGCAGCTTGTTTCGAGTGAAATATCTGCCCCTTGTAGAATTTTCCATCAAAACCAGCAACAATAGGCATTGGAATTACGCCATATGTATCAGTATATGAAAATTCGTCGTCCTCTTCATTACCCTACAAGTAAAAATATGGAGAATAATTAGGTTGTTCTCCTTCTCCTCCTCCTCCTCCTCATCATCATCTTCCTCCTCTCCGTCATCACCGTCATCATAGTCATGATCGGATGGCACGCTCCATGTGTCATCTTCTTACTCTCCATCCTGATCCTCATTGAACTCAGCATGTATCTCAGCACCCAAACAATAAGGGTTTTATGCCATAAAATTCCAAAGCACATTCAAACTAGCATCATCCATAATAGGCATCACATAATGAAATAAAACATCATTCTGCCATTCTGGAAGACAGTAAGTGAAACCTGTAATCACATCACTATCTTGTACTGCTTCGTCCTTACGCCGTATTATCTAAATTAGATTATCACAAAGTTTCTAATAGTTCACCTTGTATGGAACAGTCAACTGAAAACTTCTACCACCAACGAAATGGACGCCCAAATTGCCTCTACTTTCTCTGATTTCCAACGAACAGCTAGTTCAAATCTTCTAAAATCACTAAATAAAAAAAACTCACTAATTACTAACTAAACAAAATCATTATAGCATTTGAAGAATATAATTAAAAAAAAATACGTCTCTTACCTATTATTAGCCATCTTCCTAGCAACCAGACAGCAACCAGAGCTTCTCTCGTCTAAAAGTTCTTTGATTTTTTGGCGGTGAAGAATTGAAGGAAAGGTGAGTATATATGGTGTTGGAGTGGATGAGGGAGGCAGCGAACCCGCCTTAGTCTCGAGCGCCAACGCTGAAACTTTATGAAAGGCCCCAACTCCCCAGTCTCGGGCGCAGCCGCAGGAATTTATTGAAAAATCAATAACTAGCGGTCGCGCCTGAGTCTCAGGCGGGCTCGCTGTTTCCCTAAAAAAACACAATATGCATGTCAATAGTTTTTCAGCTGTCATATTGATGGTAAATCTTTTTAAAAAGACAATATTTGTGGAATTTATCCAAAGTTGGTGGTGTACTATAACAAGTGTCTATTATAATTTCTTCATCATTTGACAAAGAATTGTTAATAAATAGTGTGAATGTGAAGCATTAGTTGATAACTCGAGTTGTTGAAATATGTTCAATTATGAGTCATATATCGTGTTTACTATCGCATCCCCACAAACGAAAGCCACCATGTATGAGCTTGAAGTTTGCCTAGGTCCAAACACTATGTGCTTAGCATAACAGGTGAAGGTCATTGAGATTCGAACAGAATATCTCCTGGTCACAAAAAATTCTGATATCATGCCAAGAACCAGTTGATCCCAATAACGCGAGTTATTGGAAGATGTTCAATTATGTATCATGTACCGTTTACAACTGATAGACGGTGAATAATTTATTTATTATATTCGTTAAGTTGTCAAAAACAGTGTGTAAATAAAGACATTTTCAATCAAAATCATGGATGAATTTTGCTGTTTATATATACAATTTTGTTTTTATAGTAACGACACATGTCTAATTTGTACTTGACCATATATATGTTCAATATTGGTAACACATCTTTTTCTTTCTGCATTATCCATTAAAGTAAAGGTAGGTGTTGAATCTGTCGTGGTTTAACTTGTATTAGTATCAACTATTTTTTTTTTTTTATACAAAAGATAATGATATATTGAAATCGATCAAAAGAGAGTTATATCCTGGAATTCAGCCAGGTCTGAAAATCAAAATAACGACAAGTAGACGGGAACAAAAAGAGGGCCTGTCTAGCTACCAAATGAGCTACCCTATTGCTACCCCGTCCTACAAATCGCATACTGAAGCCCGGATTCTTAGTAAAAATCTGCACAAGTTCTTCTAGTATAGCCCCCACACGACTATCCCGCACCTCCGCATGCCGAATTTTCTCAATAATCACCTTGGCATCACCCTCAAATCACATTTCAGAAAAACCCCGTTCCAAACACCACCGGACCGCCTCACGGAGGGCAAGGACCTCCACCACCATTGGATCATCAACCACAGGGAACTGGACTCCCATAGCCCCTAGGATCTCCCGAGTCTCATTGAGGAGGACTACCCCCCGTCCGAGTGAGACCCCCTTCGGACAGCCCCATCCCATT